TGTGAAAAGTATCATATCGCATTGCATCTACCAATTCAAATGTACGTTTGGTGACACATACATAGGGAGGAATCATGAATGTATGCAAGTAAGCGCCTCAAAGCACATTCTAAAGTGTCTTCATGGGCAAAAATGAATCATCTGAACACATAAGTATCGGTAACAGACGTCAAACAGGACTGATGTGACTACTGTCTTTAAGCCTATTTATAAAACGTGTTGGGGATGGATCCTTAAACTTGTCGAGGCTATAGCTATCAAGAAGTTTTTCTGTTCACATCAAACCTCTCTTGGTGAATTCAACTCTGAAACCAAGTTTGACGTACTATTATTTTCGTTTTATTGATTTTCATTGTAATTTTGGCTTTTAATTTAGCCTTCCTACTTGACCTCCTTTCATATTCACACGCCTTATCTTTATAAATTTTCATAAAAATATCTATGACAACTATGTGTGTTTAAAATGTGTTGTGCAAATACATTAAACAGTTCAGATAAGTTACGTCTTTTTTGTCGAAATAATCGTTTTAAACAGTTTACCGTTGTCACTAGGTTGCAATAAAGTTATCCAAACTTAACTAATCCTACCAATTCACAATAGAACACCATCATTATTTATTGTCGCTGATGGGTAGTCAGCCTTACTCCCGATGAAGTTAGCACCACATGTTATGACTTCTTCACAGAACTTCCGGAAGTTCACATCATATCGACTGACTATTGGGCACTAAACAGTAAATCAGTTAATGGTTTTTACGGATTGGTTGACTGATTTTCAGTGAACTCCAACTCAGTAACTGGCCCATCACAAAACCCGAAAGTTCTGGGCTCGATCTCTCATGAAGCATCTTGGTGTGCATATTGCTGAAGAGACTTTATATTCTCGAATAATATACAGTGTTCCATTGAACAACTGACCCAAACTATCACATTGTCAAAATATCGCTCGTATAAGAACACCAACCCACTTAGATGACGTATCCCCATGGCACCTAATCAGTGGACGAATACTCCCCTGTTCTATTATGATCAGTAGTATCAAATGTCACCAATTAAATGATTAAAAGCATAGCACGTGACGTCTGTTAACCGTTAAACTTATTCCTCCTTCTTAAGCGTGTTTCTTGTCAGCTTCTGATAGGCGTGGGAACTGAGCTAACTGAACAAGTATCTTGATAGCCATACAGATAAATGAACCAAATCAACCTGGTACATATATTGGACTGTTGGCTAAATTAACCACGTGATTATGTAGACTAAAGTGGCTGGAGTTAAATTTGAACTCGGAAACCATTGATTACCAGTTAAATGCTTCAATCGATGAGCCAGATTTCCAAAGCTATGTGAGACTGTGACATTAACAACTTATGTTTTATTCCATCTAACTGATGATCGGAGAAAAACTGAGAATCTACAGAGCTTATTTAAGAACCATTTCCAACACTTATATAGGATTGAAACTTTAGATAACCCTCCTTAATGATTTCCAGCAATAACTTAGTCGTATATGGTACCTAATATTGTTTCGGTTTTACCATAGAATTTCCAACCCTGATTGTACTCAAAGGGACAACATTTGGATCTTTTTGGGGGATATTACTGGAAAGGAGACAGGTGGATGAAGATGAATCATACAGCTGTATAGAATTCTCTGCCAGTCACTCATACACTTTGGTAGTGGGGGTATATCACTTGCTGAAATTCTCCCTTGTCCACTGCTTACAGCCTCCTGAATGAACCTGTATAAGGACTGGGAATTGTGATGGAAGGCGGCTTCATTCTCTGCATAAAACAACACCACCCATCACCATTACTTACTCATTACCAATCAGTTGTAACTTCTTTTTATGTTTAGCATAGCCTCTAAGAATTTGTCGAGCATGTTATTCCGAAAAAAGCCGTCTAAGTTCTTAAGTGTTGGATCTTAGATAGCTATCTTCAGTGCTCTTCATACTGGAGGCCATATATTACTGTACGTTACACTAGCGTCGAACGAAACTAAATGCCTTCAGCCACCTTGTGCACATCTGTGTAGTAGCCAATGAGCCACATCTGTTGTGTGAAGGCTAATGACACTACCTGGTTGCCCAAAACTCGATAAGTGGAGCCGGGTTGGGACCTATGACCAATTGGTTAGTAGTGCCATCTAGAATCCGTTACTGCTCTGGTAGCTTTCAAACCAACGGTGTGCTAAGCTCACCGTTATCGTTCGAATCCACGTTGGGTTTGAAGGTTTCTGTCACATGTTTACTCTTTGCATCTAGTCAGATGTAGTTACAAGCATCACAGTTCTAGTCTGAAAGTCAGAAGAAGTATCAATCTTCCGCTTACTATGTTTAACATTGGCTAATGAAATTAGATTGGGATATAGACAGTAATGTGTTGATGATGGTAGCTTTGATATTTGGAGCTACTTTTGCCAGCGCTTACTGATGATCAAAAATCGTAGCATGTAGAGTTATCATAACATGGTTCTCGTCAGATATGGCCATGGTCGTATATTGGAAGAACAATCCAAGGGGATATTTCTTGGCTTGAATCCTATCTTTGCGCAATGAAGCCACTTATCATAGAATTTATGTACATGGTGAAAGGCAGTACACTTAGACATTGATGATGGATACTAGAACTCAGGGAGCATGTTTTGCCATATTTAGGACTCGTCAACTGAATATACCTGTCTCTAGGTGAGTGTTGTCCCCACTAGGATGCAAACTTCTTACCAGTCGCTTCAAATGTCAGAGTGTTATTCGCTGGGACATCGAGTCGCTATAGCCAATCCTTGTCATGAAGGGTATGACATAGTCTTAGTAGAAACAACACCACTCACTGAGATGCAGGTACATCCAGCTGATGCGTCCCAATTAGGAGGGAATGCACATCCCGGATTCCTCTGCTAGCCACTACGGGTCGGTAATATGAAATTTGAAAATGTAGACAATATCAAGGCATGCGCACAGGAGCCCATATGGTTCAATCAACCATGGAAATTCACAAGCTATAACGTTTGAGATAGTACATATTGATGTCTTTGCTAGCAGAATGCGGTCATGACACTGCGTCGGGGATACGTCACATTTCATGCAGTCAGTTATTCCGACAATTTCTTACTTTGAAGAGCGGCAGTATGCCAACAAGTATCCACTGAAAATTCCATCATTGTTATATGTTTACCTCCAGAGTTAGACATCGTCTTCCAGATTGCAGGATAGATTAGTAAAATACGCTACTACGAATTCTGAATACAGACAGTCTTAGGTAAAAGAGACAAGTGAATTATTAGGGTTATGCGCCTTTGTCAACTGAGATGGTCGTGAAACGTATTACGTCTGCCCAGTGTCCATACTAAAGTGTAATGTTGGCTGAAGTGGATTTAGGCTACAAAATAATTCAAGCCGGTCAGAGTTGCACGTGTCACCAATCCATGAGGTTACTGGCTCCTAATATGACCAGTGTAGCCGAATTTTGACTTTCAGGCTAGACTGCACATTGTAGGTGAATGAAATGTAGTGCATCCGCACATAATCTTCTTCCTAATAGTCAATTATCACTTCAGTGTCCACTTTATCCCCCTTTCTTTTTCTCTCTTCTCAGGTATGGTAAACTTGGAGTACTATGCAGTATTGTCAAGTTCCATGTTGATATCAACTGACTGGTCGACACATCTAATCCTACTTCAAACTGATTTCAATGGGTAAGCCTTTTTTATTCTCTCACCTAATTTACTTTCTTCAGTTTTCTACAAGATGAACTTCAGTTGAACTTTCCAATTTAGTAGACTCTAATGTCAAAGGATAACAGAATACACAAAAATATCCAGGAGATATTAAAATCTTGTCTATTATGAATAATTGTAACAATGGAAATGACATGAAAGATGACATTAATGACTATAGTAAATAAAGAGGATGTATAGTGTTGATTATTCACAGCCCATAACTTGTCGGGTACAAATTGACACTCCCTACAACACACACAGACATATATACTTGGAGTTACATATAGAAGGATATAAAGAAGAAAAATATTGAGTTGATCCAAGGATATCATCAGAAAAGTCAAAGAGTTATCCATACAGCAAAATATCACAAAATTAGATGTGTTCAAATAAAAGTTATCATCTTTAGAGATTATTGAAGAACAATAATATATGATAAAAGAATGAAACGAATAGCAACAAAAGATTTGTGAAAACAAAACTCAAACAGAATATTGATAAGAAGATTGTTTGTGTAAAATCATAAGTACACAGATAGGTGTATATCGAAGTTTAGTGGTGTGTGTGTGTATGGAGGATGTTGAAAATCTATATATTCTTGTTCAACAGTAGGTATAAGAGTACAGAAAGAAAGAAAGGTGATCTTGATACCTACAGAGGACAATGGGATATAATGCAAAACCATTTTTGAAATGCATCATTAATTGAAGTTGCAGAGGAAAAACAACACACACACACACACATCAATTGTCGTGAATTTCAGCGATGGTGACAATCGATTACACCTCAGAACAACTTCAGAGTGAATTAACAAAGAAGCTGGTTATCTAAGTTATCATAAAGACAATTAAAAAAAAAAAATGAAAGGTAGTAGAATAGATCTGTTTAGCATTTTCTAATCGTTGCACATAAATGATAGAACAGAAAGGAGGAGTATACAATAGAAGTTGAGGCTTGCACATGGAAACGAAGAGAAACAAATAATTCTGTTAAAGTAAATCTTTCCAAGTGAACTCTGTAAGTCTGTGTATATATATGAAATATGGTTTGTGTGTGGATATTCAATCTCTCTTCTGCATACAACAGGCTTCATGTGATAATCAGACAAATGAAAGTGGCGATTTGATGAAGGTGACAACAACAACAATGACATAAATTAAAGTATAAACAAATAGTTATATGAAATCTAAATTCTGTGTATTTGTGTGTAAAATCACCGTCTTCGCATGTGAACATAGAGATGGTGGAGAGTCATAATTCAGCAACAAAACAACAAACGAAATTAGATGTAGAGAATGAAATGACTGAAAGAGAGTACATAGGATCCTTCTTCATCATCCCCTCCACCTCTGAATATGTGGTCGGGGGTGGAGGTGTGGGAGAGGTAAGGTTTCAAAATATAATCAACGGGATCAGCTGTTCTTGACCATAACTCCCTATTTTGTTCCTGTTCATGTTTAATGTTTTCTTTAAAATGTTTACATTTGCATTTACAGTTTCGCACCGTCCAAATAACAACAACAACAAAAGAAAACATAAATGAAAGAACGAAACATGAAATAGAAACGAAATAATTATGAGACAAAGATTGTGGTAACCAAAAAACTGCATCAATTAACAAGATGATGAGATAATCAAGAATGAAACAAACAGATGACAGAGAAAATGAAAGCAGATATAACACTTATTCATGATTTTTTAAAGCTAGACCGTAGTATATTTATAAAACGTGAAGGGAATTTCGATTTTTTCGATTTAATTACTAATCGATTACCTGAATGACAATGTGAATCTATACTTGTAAATGATAATGAGGAGGATGTTTCTGACTGTCGTGTTGTTGAATTTTCACTTTGTACAGTAGTTGTGATTACTGTTTGATTTTCATCATATTTATATTCTTGTAGTAATGGATGCTTTTCACATGGTATATCTGATTCATCACTTATCACTGGAGAATATGCTATTCGAAAGGAAGATGATTCATTTCGACTGTTTTTCACATCTTCTTCAATTGATAGTGATATAGACTGTAATTTACGCTGACCTGATTCTAATTCAGACCAATTTGAATTATGTTTATTCTTGGATTGTTTAGTATAGTTTAGTGTTGTTCTATCAGCATCTTCACATTGTGAATTAATTCCTAGATAATTAGACTGTCTGAAATTACTTGATGAAGGTTTTTGTATGATAGGTGTTGATGATTGAAAGCGTTTACATGAATGAAGTCGACCAGTTCTTGCACTACTTGATGAACGTTTTAAAATAGGACCACAGTTCAAACTACCATGTGGTAGGCAAGATGATTTTCTGTGTTTCTCCGTTTGTGATGATATTGATTGCTGAAATAAATGGACATTAACAATACACATAAGTTAAAAATTATGAATGAAACCAACTCTAGATAGTAACCAGGTTACTATCTGGGAAGAGATCAACTCACATGAAACCAATAAAAGATAATGAAGGAAATCTAATTAACAAAGAAGAGAAATAAAGGAAACAATGGGCCGACTACTTCGAACAACTCTTGAATGGACCAACAACTGCAGCCCAGCCACAACACTGCAAGAGAACACAAGCCCCCACACGAAAGTCAAAGTCCTGAGCTCCATAAAGCCAATGAAGTGCGCGAAAGCAGCAGGACCACATGCAATCCCTCCACAAGCACTGGAAACAGACACACAGACAACATCGCACATGCTCACACCACCTGTTCCAGAAGGTGTGGAAGGAAGGGAAGGTACCTGCTGATCGATTGGAAGAAGGTTTACCTTGTCAAACTCTCAAAGAAGAGACACATACGCATTTGCAAGAACTCCAGCGGAATCACCCTCCTGTCCACTCAAAGCAAGCAAAGTATTAAGCCGCATCATTCTGGAGAGACTAAAGGATGTACTCGATTCAAAATTACCACCCCAACAGGCTAGCTCGATTCAGGAAGTACAAATCATGTACAGATCAAATTGCAATGCTACACTACGCATCATCATAGAACAGAGTATAGAATGGCAGTCAACCCAACTCTACCTCAACTTCATCGACTTGGAAAACGGCTTCGACAGCGTCGACCGACAAGTAATTCGGCAGGTAATTGCTTCAACACTACGGAATACTGCAAGCCTTTATCAGCCTCATTCAACAACTATATGAAGACGCCACATGCCAAGTAATTCACAATGAGAAGATCAGTGATGCCTTTGAAGTGAAGACAGGAGTGAAACAAGGCTGCCCACTATCACCCATGATATTCCTGATTGTGTTGTGGTCGACTGGATCATGCAACAAACAGTGAGGAACGAGAAGGGGGGGATATGCTGGCTGGACCGAGGAAAACAACCTAGAAGACTTGGATTTCGCCACTCATGACTTGTGTCTGATGTCACACAAACTTGAAGATCTACAGGCGAAAACTAACAAGTTGGTAGAAGAGTCGGGAAGTGAAGACGGCACTTCCCTCAAGTGAACGTAGAGAAGATAGAGGTGATGAAGATACCCAACCAAGCAACAACAACAACAACGACAACAACAAGGTCCAATCACCACCAACGGGAGAAACTTAAAGGAAGTAGTGTCTTTCACCCACCTTCCTAGGCAGCATCGTTTCAACCACAGGCGGCACAGACGACGACCTCAAAGCCAGCCATGATCGGAAAGACAGCAAGACAGGCGTTCAGTAGCCTGAAACCAGTGTGGAGATCTTGTGCACTCCACTCAGCATGTGGAACAACATTCGGATTTTCAACACCAATCCAGTCAAGTCAGTGCTTCTATATGGCTCAGAGACTTGGCGAGTTACGAAAGGCACTTCCAACAAATTACAGACATTCATCAACAACTGTCTACGCTGGCTCGTTACTGAAGATCAGATGGATTGCCAGAAAGAATAAGCAACAAGCAACTCTGGCTGTCTGGCGACGAACCAACCAAGAACCTATCACTCAACAAATATGCACTGGAATGAAGTGGAGATGGATTGAGCATACAATGAGAAAACCGACTGGGGACATCACGCGTCAGGCCAGGTACTCGAGGGGAACCCAGATGAGAAGCGACAAGTTGGGCGTCCGAGGCGAAGGTGACATGGAGGAGATCGTGTGAGGAGGAAATGAGAGCTTGTTAGCTTGTCATTAGCAGCCTTATCATGACCAGGATAGCAATTTTCTTTTAAATAAATGTCTCTTAGGTGCGCTAGAACAAAACTTTTACCATTATCATTTCATGTCTTCCAAATGTCCTCGTCTCCCGGGGGGGGGGGGGGATGCACATGTCTAATCATACGCCCTATGTAACGTGTTCAACACAACGAGTTATGCAAGATGAAGAGCTTAGACTAGGTGAAGTATGCTTTAGCCTTATGCAAAACCAATATGCATAAAACGTTCTATTAACTACTTCTAGTTAGGCAGTGTGATAAGGTGTTACTTGAAGTCTCTCGCTTGAATTGTAATAGCAGAAACAAAGGTTTCTTCTCTATTGTCATCAATTCTTATTAGGGACCAAATGTAGTTGATATCAGCTTTGATGAACTGATCCGAATATCCATTTTTATTTAGAATATCACAGATGATACACAGTAATTCTTTTTTTTTTCTCCTCATATTCATTGGAACAAATCGATCTTACTCTAAATACTTGACTAATATTAGGTTTTACATTTCATTGGCATGAAGCTGAGAAAGTGTATAAACTGTGCCTAAGACATCGGTTGTCTATATGTACTTCTCAGTACACAGGTAAGATTGTTCGATTGGTCATAAATAATTTTTATTCAATGTGTAGAGTTTGAAAAGAAGATAATTTGAAAAAGAAAACCTTTTTTTTTTCTCTGGTACATCTTTGTTCGGAGTAAAACAATAGTCTATAGGTGTCACCCATAATGAAGTAGATTAAAATATGTTAAATAAAAAATTTCTTACCATTATTTTAGCTGGAATAAATACTCTATTGATGATAAATGAATCAGGATCACTGATTCTTGAACGAACTGATGAAACTTCTAGTTTCGACTGAGATTTCAGTTTGGATTTTTTACTTTCCATTGTCTGCAAGGATGAAGAATAACCACTTTTTGTCTACAAAAAAAGAAAAGAAAAGAAATTACACAATTAAATCATCCCCCCCCCAAAAAAAATATTTACGATCAATAAAATTGTAAGAAAAAATTATCACTGTAAAATTTCACAATCCAAATTGAACTGGTGTAAATAATTCATCTCGGTTACTAATAGTGGAATCCAGGAGACAGGTTTCTTCCTCTTTTGAGTTTGTCAGTTAGACGTACCTGTACCACACTGGGTGAAGTATATTGCTTTAAATGCCAGAGTGTTATCCATAAAATCACTCACTGAGGTTACAAGTACATCCAGCTGACGAGTCTTAAATAGGATGAAATGCATGGTCAAGCTGGATTCCACTGCTAGTAACCAATATGAATACAACATCATGAGTATCTAGCAATATCGAAGCATCTGTATACGAGCACATTTGTCAACAGAGGTCAAGCAATTCTACTCTGTATTAACAACAAGAAATTACAAGTATTATAACAATAGTTTGAGCGATACTTTGTTGGTCAGTGTCATAAGGTAGAAACTGATGTACTTTTATCAAAGTGCTAAGCAAAACATGCAAAATGTACCAAAGAGTTGAAACTTTTTGCAACCTTGCGTAAAACAGTGTTAGCCTCGCATTATAACCTTAGTCTTCTAGCTTAATTTTCTATCAATCAGAAGGAGGTTGTCGATCTAAGTTTCAGACTGATTTTGAGAAATTTCAATATCAAGAGTATGCATGATCACATTATCATCCAATCATCATCTCATCAAAAGAGTTGATAATCACCGATTCAATCGCCTATGGTCTCATAAATATGCATTGCTGAGAGGCTTTTAACTAAAAAAGAAATAGCTTTCTAGTTTCTTTCCGTAATCATTGGTTCTTGAGATGATATAGATCCTTGTTAAGAACAGACAGATAGAGAGATAAATCAACGTAGAACCTGGCACAAAAGTGTATCACTTCACGATACCAGAATTCACAGAAGCATTTTAAGAACATGTGGATAGGGAAAGAGTGATTTTAGTGTAAACAAAAGTATATGAGAGAAGAAAGAATACAAAGGTGAAGATGTCAGTTAGAGTTTTCACAGTGACGCAGTTTCCAATCGGATTAGAAATAATCTTGTTGCAATCGAAGTTGTCGCTTCATTTGCTGTCGAAACCATACTACATAGGAGATATCACTTGTTGTCAACGGCAGGGTAAAATAGTCAATGATGAACAGGACACTGAGCTGATTGAGTAATGAATGACTTTGCATGTAGGTTGCCTATTTTTGATATATTCAAAACAAACATACAGTATTTAGTGTAGTTAATAGATTAAAAGCTGATTGATATCTCTTTAACTCTATAGTATCATTTAGCTGCTAGGGATATTTCTGAACCTAGGAGGAAAGGCTGTATGATTGATTATTCAATGTCTGTACTGATCAGAACCACAATCGAGACCATTCGCATGCTTAAACAGAAATATTATGGAAAGCTAGCAGTGGAACCTAGAAAGCGCATCTCATTCTAAGTCACGCTCATCAGCCGGATGATTATACCTCACTGACTGACTGACACTGACAAAATCAATGTAGGACCTCATACATAGATGCATCGGCTAAAAGTTGCCACACTTCACAGTAGCTCACAAACAACAAATGGATAGAAGAAGAGTGATAGTCTACAGAGACTTCATCGACTGGTGCCAGGTCCCGATCTAGTTACCTTGAACCCTCTTCCAACCTAATCTAACTTCCCCTAACATGGCACGTCGAGATAGATGGTGGCTTAAGATTTATAGTATATTTCCAAGCCATCTCAGTTGATTAAGGTTCACAACTTCACAGTAAGTGAGGTTGTACCCATTGGGACCCGAAACCAGAACCCATCAAGCTAAACACCAGACCGTTATCCATTGGGGCTACTGAGTCACGAAAGATGAGAAATGCAAAGACCTGGCTAGTCACCAGTGTGAATGCGATGGATGGAGGAGTTACGTATCATAGATTCACATAGAAGTCAGACAAAATCCTTGACGTTTGAAGTGAAATCAAGATCTGCTCGATGACTGAGTCTCGTAGCTCAGTCGATAGAGGATCGGGTCGATAATCCAGACCACATCATGACCGAGATTTTCATATTTCATCTTACACAACTATCAAGTATCAATAATACTGGTCTGCCAAATCAATTAGTTACACTGATTTCTGATTGTAGCTGTTATCATTGTTATAACAGTATTGGTTTATAGATGGAATTAACTAACAAAAATATGATAAAAATTTAAAGCACAAATCACTGAAATTGACTATTTCTTTGTTTAACACCTTCATTGTCAGGAAATATATTCAGTATACTTTAAAGTTTGTAAGTTTAAGGTGAACTATATTTATCACATCATTGTTGGTGAAAGAAAGCTGAGGAAAAGCTGTTCACTCAAACACATACAGTTTGGTAAAGATATCCAACTCTAAGTTATTTAATTATTCAGTATCACATTAATATGCACTAGTACTGAGTTACTCCCTTTCAAAAAAAAAAAAAAACTATCGGCTATCTACATTCATTGACAAACTTTAACCTATAGATGGGAATCAACACTGTCAAACGGTAATGAATCCATTGTATTACAACACCATTGATATCAAATAGCCTATTACATGCAATACACCAACTTTATACAGATAAACATGTGATAAATGATGCAAACCGATATAAATCAAGTCAATCTATGAAGTAGAAAAGAACAAAGAAAGAAAAAACAGATAAACACAAGTCAATTTGTTGTTGTTTTTGTCTTTAGTAAAACAGTTGACAATATTGTAACAATAACCCTTCAAGTTGTTATTCATCGAAGACTGACATCATTTGGAGGAACAAAGGAAACCTGGGATCACTGGACAGCTGTTTCGTCCAACTAGTATGGGACTCCTCAGCAGTGCGCACCCACGACCCCACCAGCAGGGATCCAACCCGCGACCTTCAGGTTCCGCGACCAGCGTGTCACTATTGAGCCACTGGGTCAGAATCCAATGCTCCATATTTCCAACTTCTGTTAGCTCACGATATAGCGCAAACCGCCACCTCACGACCATCAGGCTTTGACTCCACCGGTGACGACTTGTCATTGGAACTTCGGGAATACTTCTCGAAGCTAGTCACCAACGAGCACTAGTTCAATTAAATTTTGAGGGGGTTGTGGAGATTTGGAAATACTTCAAGTTGTTATTCATCGTCGTGGGTGCGCACTGCTGAGGAGTCCCATACTAGGACGAAACAGCTGTCCAGTGCTCCCAGGTTTCCTTTGTTCCTCCAACTGATGTCAGTCTTCGATGAATAACAACTTGAAATATTTCCAAATCTCCACAACCCCCTCAAAATAACCTTTCACCCTATAGTAGCATTTTTTTTTTAAAAAGAACAGACAATTACTACTTACCAAATATTCATCGGAATTTGGAATGATATTTAAGCGTCGGCCACTGGTTGTATACCTTTGGTTTAGTTTGTCTAGAGTATGCATAACATGATGGGTTTTTTGGTGTGCCATATCATATTGTTCTAAAATTAAGCACAATACAAACAAACAACAATGATCACAATTGAATTTTGATATCGGATAAAGCACATAACGAAGTTATGCTGAACCAAATGAGATTATTATCTAAATAAATAGTTAGAGAAAAGAAACTGTAATGTAGACTTTGGTTATTAAGTGGATTTTCTCGCAGAGTTGAAAATTTTTGCAACCTTGCGTAAAACAGTGTTAGCTTTGCATTATAATCTAAGTCTTCTAGCTTAATTTTCTATCAATCAGAAGGAGGTTGTCGATCTAAGTTTCAGACTGATTATAAAAGGAATATATATTTGAAATATACTGCAAGCTAATATGAGTACGAATTGATCATTCACACCAATCAGAAGTGCTCACTAACCAGATTGAGGTAATCTAAACATCTAAACATCTATCCGTTCGTTAGGAGTAGAGCTTATCAGCGGATTCACACCAAAGAGAATTATTCAAACCACTAGCTACTTGAGCACAGTGGCTATATCCACAATAGAGTCCACTGCTTGTATATTCTTTGAACACTTAATTTCAAGCAGTATCCCTCAAATTTCTAGGTTATTACTTATGATATGACTAAAGAAGTGCATGACTACTATCTAGTTGAAAGAAACTAGCACGGAACCTCCTCTACCAGTAATCATGACTTAAATGTCGTTGGTGAAGTCGAAACACAACACAACTCAATAACTTGAGATTGTATTTAGGGATTAAGGAAGTCTATCAGTACTGAGAATCAGAAAACGTAACCGTCACTAGTATCCTATATCTGGCCGGTAAAATTACGCGCCTGTAACGGGGAAAAACTTAGCACAGTATTCCATCATCTGCAGTTTGTCAATCTTAAAAATAACACAAAATAATCAACAAGTGGAAGCGATGAAATGGAAGGAATTAGAAGGTTAAGATGCGACTACAGAGAGTAAATGACCAGAATTTTATGAAAGATTTCTTGCCAGATAAAGTTATTACATTCTCATCAGTCTGTTAAATTTTGAGGCATGTCTACTGCATTTTTTGTGATCCAAGTTTGAAACTACATTTTTCTGAAGATCGGTCATTCTTACGATTTAAGTAGTCTAAATGTATCTACAGCATAGAGATCAATTTGAGGACATTTTTGTTGTGAGGCCCTAGTTTTGCATAAAACATTGTTATTGATCTAAACATTTTTAACTTGGCATTCTCACACCAATTTTACGGTATGACTAGCAGTTTATTTTCTGCCCCCATTGTAACATAATTCGCTGATTGGTTAATCTTTACTCTTACTATGCCAATGTCTCGAATTGCGGACAAGGTCATTTTTCATTGTGGACTTATTCACGTTTTGGAATTGATTATAATTATCTTCTCGGAAGAATAAACTGTCCATCATCCAGATTTGGTCTTCTCTCTATTCGTCCCGGGGGTTGCAGTCAGTGGCTCTTGCGTACTAAGTTAGCTGTCCGCTTAGCGTGCGTATTATATAATACTCGTTCGGAATATATAACCGTTGGCGTACGAAGATATAACAATTTCACGCAGTTGCCAAACCCTTAGTTTGAGTTGCCTTACGGACTTCATTCTGAAATCCTACGTTTCTCTACGAGGTCCAGACAAACAATAAGGGACTTTGTCAGCGCGTTCCACCGTTTTATCTTGCCGATTTTAATCTATTCCGAATTTAACCCTGTTTTAGTCAACATAGCACGTTAGGGTATATGATGAATAGGGCAAGTGCAACACATTTCGTGGCCATCTCAGCCAGTAAAGGGTTGCATAATGATGACCTGGCTTACCTCTTTTAGCTGAAAACCTAAATCTAATCTCTGTACTACTCACATTACGGTTGCACGACACACTGGTTATGCTAAGAAGGTAACAGTTGTCGAATATAGACCACTTTTTTGTAAACACCGATTAAGCTAGGATGAACTGTAACACAGTACGGTCAACCTTTATTGGTTGGTCGTATGTGTTGCCATAACCACAAGTGGCGTAGATTGGAGAGAGCCAATTGAATCTTTTCCGTCCGTGATGTGGTCGTGTCAGTCACTGGCTGATCAGGAGTGAGACAGCTAATTAAAAATTGGAACACTCAACATTCCGAACCATTTGATTATCTATTTTCAGCTGAGGTATTTCTAAAATCTGTTCTTAAAGTAGCTTTTTGTATTTTCGATGTGGTAAACGCATCTTAAACATTCTCAAATCTTCACATAACATACTAACAACACTGTATTTTGTCAGCGTTTTCACTTAACGGAACTATGTCATCCAAGTTCTGTAAGTTGACTAAAGAATCGTTATACAATGAGATTGATCTCTATGACGTCAGATGAGGTGACAGGAGCCTCTACTGATACAAAGAAGATAAAATTAAAACGAAATGGAAAGAGATTATATACTTGAAATAGACGACTCTCCTGATAGCTAACACTACGCTATAACACGGCTATACATATTCAAGTATAGGGTCTTCAGTAGGGTGACATGTTTTCCAGGTGCTATTTTCAGGGAAAGACAGAGTAACATGTTGAAAGAAGGAATCAAATCCCAGTGTCACGTTTGGTTTGACTATGTTAGGTCTCTTCAACAATATTCTTAAGTTAGCCATCATAAGACGTCAAGATAGTGAGTAGTGAGTTTTCCGACTGATAATTAGATACAGATGTCTCGGTTTCAAATAGCTTCAAGAAATATACCTAGCCGTCTTAAATCAACCGTTCTTGTCATTTTCAATGGTGCATATTGATAGCGTTTCTTAGTTTATTCTCTTTCAGCTTTTCCTCATCCTTTTCTCAGCCAGTTCACATTATACCTTACTCAGCAAAAGCGTATTGAATGAGGTATACTGGAATTATGTGACTTCTCGTGACACAGCCACATCTTCTCCCTAGGAGCCTATATCTTATCTAAATAGGTCAGTATAATATTTTACCAATGATAAAATTTAGTTTCACTGATCCTCAAGTTATTTCAGTTGTACTAATGACAATTAACAAGCTAAATATATTAGGAGTGATATTACATTTAAACAGGTCTACTGATCCATCTCAAAAGACTTCTTGTTAGAGTTTAAAGAGGCAGAAGTTGAGGAACAACAATCAATTGTTGATGAGATCAATATCCTTACTTGGTACCTGTTGTATGAACCACACTACAGCTAGCAAGTGATTAGTGAATACTTGAAGGTTGTTAGTTTGAAGCTTGCAGCGAAAGCATTTCCTATTTCAATCATCATTCCAAATCAATAAAACAAATCTGACAATCCATAGCTATCTCAGATAGTTTCATTGATAAGTACCACTATGTTTAATTATAACCTGTATACTTGCTATTCACTTCTTCTATAGGCATGCAGCAGTGGGGTGATATATATGTATATAGAATAGTAATCAGTCAATAAAAAAATTAAGCGTGATTAGTTTTGAAAAAGATTATCAAAGAGGGCAAGGAAGAGAAGTAGACAGATATTACCTAGAAATAGATAAGCGATAGGATTTTTTTGAAAAAAAAAACAAACGACTAAAACAAGTGAATTCAGTTTAACTTTTAAGAAAAAAAATCAAGAATTCTTGGGATGCAAAGGATAAATTTAATTAATTTTCAGTTTTCCTATCAATCAATTAAACGGCGCATGTATTCTCTGAATAATTGACGAAGTAGAACGGTAAAGCATTCAGCATAAAGGTACACCAGTTCAAACTGTTGTAAAATATGTTTATAATAAAATGTTCACTTATTGAGAAGAGAGATAGGCAGACAGATAAATAATACCAACGTTGAACACTATACAGAAGTGTTTCGGTACAAGTTGATAAAAAAGATTGATAGCAAAGTATACAAAGGTGTATAGTATAAGAAGGAATTTGAAAATGGGGCTTAGTCACAACATTCAAGTTCTGGAAAATGTCAAAGAGTAAGATATCTACTCCATTGTGACCGATTTTCAGCCAGATCATCAAGGGTCTTCAGCCATTAATTCCTATCATCTTGACGATGAGTTGGACGTCCGAGGGTGACATGGAGGAGATCGTGTGAGGAGGAAATGAGAACTTGTGGGCTGTCGTGGAGCCAGGTTCAAAAGATTTCACAGAACAGAGTTCACTGTAGACTTGCTACTGAAGCCCTATGGTCCATTAGGAACCCAAGGGACTAATAATAATAATAATGATAATCTTGACGATCCCAACCAAGCAGTCTACAACTCCTTGCTCAGCTGAGGCCAACATCAAGTGATTTCACGGACTCGTGACACGTCTTGTTCTGGCCACATTGAACCCTTTTCTAACCTAATTCAACTTCTGGAAGCACTCCACATCGAGGTAGGCAGTAGCTCGGCATGCTCGACGTGTTCAAGCCCTCTCAGTCGCTGAAGGTTCATAATCTTATTGACCAACTGAGAATAGCGGATAGAACAAATTCGAGGCATGAGAAATCACTAGTCACAAAATTGGAGTGTGTAGTCGACTGTAGACAGAAAGCTCGCAGTACTTTAGGCTAATTTGACTACGAGTGGTGTGAGAAATCAGTATTACATCCTGAAAAAAACCTAACTAAAGTCTATTGATCGGTAACTGAAGAGTAATCAATGTCATCCTTCCTGGTCCTTATATATGGCCGATTCGCTTCGTGGTGTAACTTGAAAAAGTAGTGTACTGTATTGGTCATTGTTGAATGCTTATAGAAGTTATGCAATGAAAAGCAAAATGGTAGTTTTAGGCTTTGTGGTTATTGGAACTCATCGATAAGGTATATATTTGTATGTGTCAGTGTACCTGAAATAGTAATTGTGCAGAAAGTGACTTATTAAATAGCTTCTTACCTGCATTGATGGCGCTAGAATGCAGTTTCTGTTACCCTAGTCTTCTAGCTACACTTTGAGAACCACTTCATATGAAGTGAACTGTATTTCACTTAGTGTTTAAATGAGTTCTCAAAAAGACGTATGAAAATGAAAGACAAAGTGACTAGTATAAACAATGTTTTGTTAAAAACTATTTTGAATCTAGTATACACAAGCATCGGGATTTGAATGACTGAATAACAAAGTAAATTAGGCTGCATGAAAATAAGAAGGCGAATGAGAAGAACAACTAAGAGGAATTTTGATTATATAAGGGAAAACTGATCATGAGAAAATAAATGGTATAATCAAGAACTTGGAATGGGATGTGTTAATGACACTGAAGATGATTCAGTGTTTCTTTTTTTCCAAAGAGAATATTCAAATGTAGATTCCGAGCGCCTTGTGTATACTTAAACACATCGAACTGATAGTTAAAATGATCTATCACAGTAGCACCTTACATTATTGTTTGGTAGTCGTCATAAGTCACATTCGATTATGCTCATACCAGAACTAATATGTAATATCAAAGTAGTTAATAAAATGAAAAAAAAAGTGAGATGAAATTATCAAAATAAAAAGAAAGCATTCTCTATGAACATTCAATTTACGAGACAAAACATACTACTTATATATTACCTGTCAATGATGAATGTTTATCTACTTCGAGACTTAACCGATCACCAATTGAACACAATGTTCCACTGTCTTTATTGAGTAAACTTGTTAAACGATCCAGTTGACTGTTTGCATTTGTCAATCGTTGTCTTAAACACCAATTTGTATCAGATTGTAATTCCAACTAAACATGAATAGAAACAATGTTAATAATTAAGAGAATATACTAATGAATATGAATTTTATAGTAATAAAAAAAATACTGCGATATTTTAGAATAGTTTTCATTACATCATTCATCAACTAGAATTCTTGTTTCAGCCTAGTTTAAGGCTCATGAGTAGTGCATCCTTATACAACACTTATGACGGATTTATGAGATTATTGTAAGGCAGTTTAGATATTGCCAGCACACTTATAGGCTAATGTTGTGTCTAAAGCGATTGAAGTGAATTCAGTCTTTAATGCAAAAGAATAAAAATCTTTGACTTCAAAGCTACTAAAAGTGTCATACACTGAGATGTTTTTTTTTTTAACTAGAGTTGAGGATCAGTGTATTCTATAGTTCACGAGGAATGACTTAGTCGACGTTTAAACCTTCAAGACAGATAAACATTACTTGTTGAATTCCTTCTACAACTCTTAGTACACCAAGTTTGACTTAGTCTATTCACTTAAACAGCCACATAGCCTAATTTGATCTGTATATACTTCACTCGTTTATATAAAACTAGGTAATGATTTTGTTTATCAGCCGAATATCCAGTTTATTTGAGCTATGATGACACATGCGCTATACGTAATGTATGTTGATATTTATCGGCATAGCCTTCTATATTAATGTCACGCAGAAATAAAGCGCCTGTGGTGGTGGTGGTAAGTCAGATTGCCTATTAAGGATAGACAATGTGCAGCAGGTTATCTCAATCTTACAGTATAACGATGAAAACTGGTCAATAAAAGCGGAGCGCATAAAGATGCTTCAGGTGTTTGATCACCTTTTCCCTCGAAGGACAGGTCACATATCTTGGAACCACCATGTCAGTAGCGCAAAACTTAGGCGTAAAGATTTAGATGAAAAGCGTAAGTCAGTTGATCAACTTGTAAATCTTCATGTACTTAGATGGCTGTGAAATGCGTTACAGTATGCCTAGTTAGTGTCCACATCAGGTGGATTTAGGTTGGAAAAGTTTAAAGGCTGCCAGATTATAATGTGACATTATTACAGGAAGTCTCCGCCTGATGATCCGCACCATTTACAGCCTCTGTAACAACTAAAATTTGTGGGTGGATATTTTGAGGTGATACAGCTCGGAGTTGATCATAGTGGCAGCACAGATGTATCTCTACGCAGTATGTTTATCATCTCACATTTCTCTATCCACTCCCTTCCTATGGCTCTCGACGGCTTTTGATCACATTATTTGCATATATCTCTATCAGTCATCATAGTGCTTAATATCTTGATGTAGCCATGCAAGGAATGGTAACTTAGAGCGCTACGTAGTATTGCTAGTTACTGTGTGACTGACTTAAAAAACAATATCGCTAGTTTTCAGAGCCTTATCATTTTTAGCAGTTAATTTTGTTTTCAAAAATATCAAACAGACATTTGTAACCCTTATCATTATTATTATTATTACAGTAATATCAGAAAACATGAGAGTAGTAGGAAATGCAACAGAAACCTCTCAACTTACTTCTGATGTAACAATGTGATACTGATCCAGGAGATATTTGGCTAGACTTCGTAATTCATGTGTATTCTTTAAATGATCGACAGAGTTGACCAATTCATTTATTGGTGCTTTTTCTGCACGTCGTGGATAAGTTAAATTAGTCAATAGACTAAGGTTAGAAGAATCTGAAGCACCAGAGATGTGCTTTTGAAATGAAGAAAATGTGGCAGTATGGGGAGAAAAATTTTTAGTTGTAGTAGTGATAGTAGTAGTAGTAGTAGTGGTAGGCGCTACTGTTGTCACCATTAACGACATCTGAGGTCTCCTTAACTGCGGGAAAGTTGACGCTGAAGAGCATAAGAAAGATGATGAAGATATTCTTCCATCATTACTATCACTTATTTGATGTTGCTGTTGTTGGATGTTTTCTATTCGAATAACATTTAACAGTCTGGTTAGAATTTCACTCAACTCATCTTGTCGATCATCAGATAATATTGGCTTTCTTGATTCCAGCAGATTTTGATTTAGTTGACTTAATCCATTCACTGCATTCTGAATCAATGTACACAAATACTGTTCATATAACTAGAAAGTGTTGTTAAAAAGAGGATGAAAAATATGTTATGCTAAATAGCTTGCTACTTTATTACAAAAAGTAAAGTACCAATGAACTGAAAGTTACAAGTAATTTGTACACGATTCTAAAGTATTTTGAGATAGATAATTAATCCATAGTCGATAATTAAGGGGAAACTCTGTGGAAATCAAGATGAAATGGAAGGTTGTAACATTGGAAAGTGTATATGGTGATGAAATGACAACTACAGGATTAATATAATGGCAACGCACGTTAATTGAACCTATCAGTGTCAGTCACTAAAACCAGGTCAGTTTGTTGCGCAGCTGATGAACACCTAGAGAGTTTAAGGGGTTTTGAGTTTTGACTTACGGATAAGCGATGTCAGCTTTCGAACTGATGTCAGTCAGTGATGAATAAGTACCATAAAAATTAAAATCCCCATTACCCTCAAATAATACATTGCTGTATGGTGCTCATTATTGACATACTTCCAGTTGGATATCCCAAAGTTCTAATGAGAAGGCGTGACCTGTGGGGTCAACCAGTTGGAAGGGAAGCGGATGCCAACTGAAGACCTTGGTTGATAGTCGCACTATATCAAAAATTGACAGAAGTTGGAAATTGTGAATCATTGGACTCTGACCCAGTAGCTGAATGATTTAAGCAATTCGCCGTGAAACCTGAAGGTGCTGAATTCGATCCGTAACCGGGTTGTTGATGTATACTGCAGAGGAGTCCCATACTAGGAAATAACAGGTGTCCAATGCTCCAAAGGTTTCAATGTTTCTCCAACTGATCTCAGTCTATGATGAATACTACTTTAAAAATAAACTTATCACATAGACTTATACAGAGAAAATGACACAGTGGTAGTAATTTAATGATGGTTAAGATACAGTTTTAATATGAATGCTATTGAATCTTTCTCGCACTTGATAAACACTGTATAGTCTTTTTGCTGTTTCATTACTGTTACAGATTCTTTTCAAACTACCAAATGGTATGAAACAGTCAACTTGAACTAACTAGTACTGTAAAGAGTGTTGATTTTGATCATAATTATGTATTCAACTCATAAGGAGTAATTTTAATTCATGCAGGTCGTATGAAGTGGCTGATTCAAGTCAAATTTGAAAATTATTATCATTCTCGCATAATATTTCTTGGTATACACATAATAGCTTGGATGATTTTCTAACAAAAATTATACTAACATCATAGTTGACTGTTTGTAAGTTAACCGTCCATAAAAAAATATTAACAAAACAAATGAATTTAATCTGAATTAGAAAAACAAACAAACTATCCTCACTAATCACTACCTCTGGTAGTTCATTCCAATGCTAAAACTAAAAGTTCTGACTATTTTATCTTATTCTGTGTAGCTTACTAGTTTTAAAATGTACTCATAAAATAAAAGATTTATCTCTGTTAATTCAACAGAGAGTATATTTCTAACAGTGTCTTTTTTAAAAACTACAAAACACCAACTGCTAGTCTTGAGTAAGAGTGTAAAGGTCCACATTTCTCACTTCCATCAGTTCACGATATAGCACAACCGTCATCCAATGGTATCGTTGAGTAATTGTCCTCACGCACGACTTTGTTGCCCCCCCCCCCCCCCAGTCACAATATCTCATTAGAACTTCGGCAAATTTCATCTCGAAGCTAGTCACTAGTGAGCAGTGGAGTGTAATTCAGTTTGGAGTTTTTAGGGATTGATTTAATGATCTCAAGTTGGTATTCATCACGGACTGATATCAGTTGAAGAAGTCCCACATTAGGAAGAAACAAGTATACAATACTCTCAGGTTTCTAATCGTTCTCCAACTGATATCAGTACATGATGAATACTAACCTGAGACTCATAGAATCAGTTTACACAACCCATTGAAGTAATAATTAATTACGTTTGAAAACAGGCTTATATGTAATCATTCAAGTAATTTTCTAGAAAAATTAAATTTTCATTTACTTTTAACAGTCACATCAGACAGGTCACTAGAAATAGGGGCAAAAAAAGGGTCAGCTGTGAAGCAAAATCCAGTTGGCATTATTCGCAAATAATTTTCATAAAAACAAGGTTATTCGCTTGCATTAAATTTGTATATCATTTTGTATAGTTATCAGAACAGGTAAATATCGAAAAGTTCCTTTTGTCTAATCAAACTGTATTTTTTAGCACTACAATAAATTGAGAATTTCTTCTTTTCGATGTATCAAAACATGCTCACATACTGGATCTACATCAGAGGAACAGTGCTTGAAGAAGTGAAGATACAAGTTCCACAGAATATACTTTCTAGTGCTGTAAAGACCTACTAAAAAAAGAGTTTTAATTCGAGTAAATCATTTGGAATATCGAAATGTCAAGATGGCTATTATATTGGATGATAGGATTTTTGATTACCTATTTCTATTGATGTCATCACATACAATAGAACATATGAAGTCAGAAAGCAAACTTATCAGTTCAATAATCCATACCTATTTTACTAATTGGAGGGGTCCAAAGGGACTAATATACTTCCTCAATAAAGTATCTTACCCTCTGTGGATAAATTCAGCTGACGAATCCCAAATAGGACGAAACGCGGGTCCTGGATTCCTCTGCTAGCTAGAATCAAGTCAATTGTCATAATAAATATTCAGGCATTATAGAAGCATCCACGTAGGAGCCAATATCTCAACAGAAGTCGAACAATTCTACTCAGTATAGCAATAGAGAATTACTAGTCTATCAACAAACAGTAACATAAATTAACTGGTTAACCGATTGAAGTGTGCAAAAAACGACAAAAATAATGTACTCCAAAGAAGCACAACTTTATGAGTACTTGCAACCTAGTTTATGAACAGTATTTAACATCCTGTATTGATAATGAGGACAGACTGATAAGATGAGCAACCTAATGAGGATCCACTTTATTCTTCGGTTTGATCATTCGAGTAATCTCTTAAGCCAAGATATGTCAAGTGTGACTTATTGCCTGATAGATAAATATGAGTCAAGCTTCAGCTGGACGATAATGTCGAGTCACTTTTGAAATCGAAGTAAAAGCTATCAGTAGTAATGCATGAAATTAAATAGAGATAAATAAAAAGAAAAGCACGTATGAACACTTACATCCATATCTTCATAGTAGGACATATGACTAAATGATTGACTTGTCAGTATTTGTGCTGTATCATCTATGCAGAATTGATTTTTTATAGTAGATAATGTTGGATCAAATTCATGACTGGAAACTGTCACGGATTTTGGTACTGTTAGCTCAATACGATGAACTGGAGTAATGTTTACATCGATAGGATCTATATTCTCCCAATACATGAATTTATCCAGTTTCGATTTAAGCATTTCATTAGTCAACGGTTCTGAAGGTAGATTATATCTCATGTTATATAACGACTGAATTTCTTGTATGTTTTGTATTGAAATAATGTATAATAATTCTGTATCACGTACATGTAATAACCGTAGAGCATATTCAAGTGCATAATTATCATTATTATACATATCGTCTTCGTAATTATATAACAATGTAGTTTGAGATTGTCCCGTGTTATCAATATCCTTTAAAACTGAATCTTGACAGTGCCATGTAGTACTACTTCCATCAACACCAAAATCATTATCACCGGTAGCAAGGAGACCAGAATCAGATTTGTTATTTAACAAGTCTTGAATACACTTATAAGTAAGGATAGTTTGTTTCAATTTTTGTTTAGTATGGATTATTCTTTCTTGGAGAACTTCTTCTTCTTCATCTATGATAGTTTGCATAGATGAATAACTGAAAGAAGACGATGATGATGAGGCGATAGGGATGGTATTCACTTCTATATCAGGTACTCTTTTCTTCTCTGTCAAATGCTTCATTCTGGTGAGTGAAACTAACTCTGAACGTAAATCATTTAGTAACTGTCTAGTTACAAGTTCTTTTAAACATAAATGTGTGTCAATACCTTCTAAATATTGGTTTACATGTTGTATCCACATGAGACAATGTTCTGGCGTAAATAATAAGAGTTTACGTAACTGTTTTAAACCACATTTCAAAGTATCTGGCTGTAGATTATAACGTAAACTTAAATCTTTATTCTTTAAATGCATTAGGAAAGCTGGTGTATATAATTCCAATGCTGTAAGGAATTGTAATAATGATGTACGATACAACAATTTATGTGAGTGTAATGCTGACAATAATTCTGTTGAATAGCTCGATGACAATGATAACATGGATCTAAATAATCGTTTAGGCGAATAGCTGTTCAACACTGTTAGCGAATCAAATATCAACGATTTGTTATTACATCGGGGTGGATAAGAGAATGAATGTGATCTCTTTCTAGGTGTTTCTTTCCTTTCACGAATCGAACACAAATTACAACGTTTGGAAGCTGGTTCTGGAGAAAAACTATCTTTTTTATGTTCAATGTTATCTTTTGGTAATTGATCGCGTTCTGTTTGGTTCAAATTTTCTTCAACTAAGCTAGTTACATAACTATAAGGTTGTTGTTTGTTTATTTTATGATCAGTATCTGTTACGGTAAGTGTTTGACTGAAACAGGGTGTAACCTCTTCTTGATACACTTGTTCAAATGTCAACTCTTGGTCAATCAACTTCCTATGTTCAGAGCTATGTAATAAATGTGATCTGATGTAATCACTGAATTCTTTTAATATATTATCAAGATATGACCAATCATTTTGAAAGTTGTTGATTACATTGTTTAATGATGAATTATGGATCTGAAACTCTTTAAATGTATCTAAGGTTTCTACTATTGTTGACGTTGAAATACTACTTGATAATTGAGAATGTAATAATTTAAAATGTTCAGCAATTACTGAGATACGTTGCTTTACATTACTTAAAATTAAGCACAGTTCTGTTTGAAACTGTTCAAAATGTTTCATTTGATTACCTTCTTCAGGTTTTGTTGTTTCAGTATAGGTGTATAATTTGGCAGTTTGAGATACAGATACATCTTTTTCTAGGTTGGATAGATTTAATAAATTACATAGAATTTTATATAGTTCTGATAATTTCTGTGGAAGAATTGTAGCATCTAAGGAATAATTAATTAGGCATTGTGAAAATTCTCTCAGTATTATAGAATATTCATATCCTTCTTCAATGTTTAAATTTACACTGGTGTTCAAGAGTTTTTCTGATGTAGTCATCTCAATAAGATAATTCAGCAGTTGATCAAAATATGTACACAGCTCTTTCAATTTATTAAATGATAAATTAGGAAGTTTAATTAAAATTTCTTCCACTTGACTACTGAATAGTTCAAGTTGAAAAGGTGACTGTATAGGAGGTAATTCAAGTGTATTGGTTAGTTTATTGATAAGTAAGACGCATTTATCAATTATCCTTGAATCAATTATTTGAACATTACTATCAATATGCTGTTTCTCTGACAAAACATGTTTCACACTATCTAAGAGACTATTCACAAGTACAATAAGCTCATCTTCGGAGTATTCTTCTATAGGATGTATTTTTTGTACAGAGAATACTGAAGGTGTTTCCAATAACACTTTATACAAACTATTTATGAATTTTAGCAAAATTTTGAATTTATTCGATATTACCAGTTGTGATGATGAGTAAGAGTTATCACATTGAAATGAAGAGTATTCTGAAGTATTTTTAAGATTTTCATTGACAAATTCTTTCATTTCTAATAATTTTGAACGTATACTCATGATATCTTGTTTGACGATTGAAAGATTATTCAATACTGATTTAGTATCCTTTTGAGATGAATCTAAGGATTTTGGAGCATTTTGCAATTGGTATTTTTCATCAATTTTAATTTTACAAAGTTTGTAGGTATCTTCAAACTTTTCGTCAATATGATCTTTGTTCTCAGGCATTTTTATTTCTGAAGATTGTTGATTTAACTGACTAAGAAGTAAAGTTTTTTCATGTTCTACTTGTTTAAGTTTTTGTTTGATAGAAGTGAAATGACAAAGGCATTTTTTAATTCTTTTCAAAATAAGTTCAATATCTGTACTAGAAGATGATTCAGGTAGACTTTCATCAAAGCATTGATCAGTGTTATAATCGACTCCAGTATTTTTGCTATAATGATCATCTTCATTATCATCAATAGTATTCAATGAAGGTAATTCACTTGACATATCAATAAGTTTTGCAATTAAATAATCTAACATATTAGTGTATCGATCCGTTTGACTAGTCTGATAGTTAACTGATATCTGTAATCTGGTTAGTTCAGCATGAAGTTGATCACGTTCTTCAGTTCGTTGATTCAATTCTATATTAAGTAGATTACATTGATTTTCTACAATAGCTATTTTATTCATTTGTTTCTGAAAATCATTCATAAATATAGTTAAATTTGGTAATATTTCATTTGGTTGAAGTATTTTTGATGAAGAAATACTCTTCGATTGGAATTTCATCTTCTCTATATCAGTAATTTTATCATGAACAGTTTCCATTGTTAAATCTGATAAATAGTTGAACAATAAATTGACATTCATTTGCCAATCATTATTTTTTGCTTGTAAATAGGCTAATTCTTCATTTATTATTTGATTAAATTGTTCTTTTGTATCAATAAAATTTTCTGTTAACTGCTGGTTGAAATTGTCTGATTTATTTATTATTTTATTATGTAATAATTTTATTCTTTCAGTCAAATTATCTATTCGATTAAATAAACAGTTAATAGTTTGACATATTGAATACTCTAAGGTAGAAAACTGTTGTTGAATAGATTGTTGAAGTAAGATCGGTTTAGTATGATAATAACTAGAAGTAGTAGTAGTAGTAGTAGTAGTAGTAGTATTAGCCGGTATTAATTTATGCAATAATACTGAATCAAGTTGTAGAGATGATGATAGTGTAGACGGTGTGTATAACTTATAATCGATTAGAATCTTTTCAATTTGTTTACAGTGTAATTCAATATATTCATTAGTATTCAATAATATAGATTTCAGTTTATACTCATCATTATATTCTATTAGTTTAGTAGAATAATCATCTTCTAATTCATTATGTATAACTTTGTTAATTAGATAGTGTAATTCACGAGAAACCTTTAAACTTTCCATTAAAATTGTATATAATTTAGTAGATTGATGTTTTAAATTGATATTCTCTTGAATTGCCTCATTTTTCTCTTTTATTAATTGATAATAATATTGAGTGAATTGGTTAAAATTAACATTAACATCCATATGATCTATAATTGTATAATTTTCATCTATAGAATAAGTATTCCCATTAGGCAGTGATGATTGATTAAATAAACTATTAATTTTTATTAATTCTTTATTTATACAATATATAATATTTCTTTGAGTTTTTTCTTTCATTTTTAGTGTATTCAATTGATTCATTAGAAAAATATTTTCAAAGCATAAAGATTCATATTCTTCAATAGTTTTATCTAATTTTAAACATTTTTCTGTTAATAATAAATTTTCACTTTTATAATTATAATTTATTTCCATTAAATTAGGTAATTGAAGAAATTCATATAAATATGATAATTCATTAGGCATATTTTCTTTATCAATAATACACAATAATTTATTATTATCATTAATATACTTATGAATATATTCAATAAATGATATAAAGGTTATTGATGAAGGTGTTGATTGTTTTAAATAGTTAATAATCTCTTTAAATAAATCATTTATAAATAATTTTATATTTATATTAATATTGTATAAAGTTGAATAATCAGATTGTAATTGTTTATATTTCATTTCCATCTGTTCACTGGGTATACTCATTTCTCTAATAGACGATAATAAATGATTCAATCGATTTCTTTCTGATTCACAAATAATAAGTTTATGCTCAAGTTGATGTATAATTTTCATTAGTACAATAGAATTTTCAAAATTATGCAATGATAATGAGTGTTTCAAGTTACAAAGTTTTTCATTAGATTCAATAACATTTTCTAAAGTATTTTTCATATTCATCATACATGAAGCTGTAATACATTCAACATTATTAAGACTGGACATAGACGAAGATAATTTATGTTCAATACCAACATCAAATAAACCAATAGATTCATTGTTACAATCATCTCCAACGCTACACTGGCTTTCAATGCAGACAGAAGGTTTTAGAGAAGAAGTGCGGAAAATTGGAGACTGTATAAGTGAATTACACTGATTACACAAACAAGACAAAACCAAACTATTACCAAAATCTGAACAACCACATAAATAACAAGGAGGCTGTACAACAGAATCAATCAAATCACTCAACTGTTTAAAATAAACCAAGAAGTTAAGATCACCAAAAAGATCAGCAGAAGCGCAAGAGTTGCATAGACAAATAATGTTTCTCAGCATTCCGTTAATAACAGAAAATGTGCCAGAATCCAAACGACTAAATGAGAAGCTAAGCAAATTCAAAAACAGAGAAGACCAAACACGGATTAGAGGTAAGCAAAAATTGACCAAATCAATCGACGAAGCCAAAGAAAAAGAAACACGAGAGAATTTCTGTCTCAAATCAGACAGCTCAACCGAAAGACAAGAAAAACCATAACCACCAATGAATGGAGTAACATCAGACGGGGAAACATCAACATCAGAAGAAACAGGCAAGGAAAAGCCCCGCCGGAGCTTAGAGACCTCGAGCTGCAGCCTCGACACCAGGTCGAAGACGTCGTCCATCTCCGTCTGCACACACACCTCCTCGACAACAGTGTCCGACGCACCACTCTGCACACACCTCGCTGACACCTCCGTCTCGCTCTCCAAGGCAGCGAGTTTCGCACGCAAAACCTCAAAATCACGCTGTTCTGCATGCAGGCTCTCACGCCCATCACTCACTTCCTCTGACAGACGACGCTTCTCCTCTTCCAGTTCGGCTACTTCCCTCTCCTTCACAGACAACAAATGTCGAACATCCCTCAAAGAGTCACCACTCTCCTGCACAGATCTCGATAACATGGCAATCTGTTCATGGCAGAAGGCCAACTCTGCACGCAGCTCGTCCACCGACTTCGAGGCATCCTCAACAACATCTACACACACACTCTCACTAACGAATTGTTGGCTCACCACTTCCATAGGAGTCGACGTCGACTGGTCAACAGAAGACAGCTCCACAGCAGCCGCCTCTGACAACCGGTCACTCATCCACCGAAGCTCACTTCCCATCACCTGCACCTCCGCATCCACAAATCCAGTAGACAGACTCAACAATCCACTGGCCTCGGACTCGTCACGCGTGCACTCCAAGTTGTAACCGCTCCAACCATCAACCACCATGAAATTCACTTCGTCAGCCTCAACATCCTGACCAACTCCGACGCTCACAGTCTCTCTCGGATGACCAGTCAATCCGGACGACAAGGCCACATCACCTTCAATAACAGAGTCCAGTCTCTGGGTTCCCACATCACTCGTGCACACTGCTACAATAGGCCTGACATCCAGACTGTCTGCTGCAGCCAGTCTAGCACGTAGTTCCAACAATTCTTTAAGAGCTGTGTCACGTTCACTCACCACTTGATCCATTTGCAACTCCCAGTCTCGACTGGCTATCGACACTGCTGTCCTACAGTTCTCCTCAATCGACATCTCAAGTCGCAGCACTTCACCCTCTAACGCAGTGCACTCCTCCCTCGAAACAGCCAGTCGACTCTCCAGCTCTGACAATACACCCGTTTTCTCCTGTCTATAGACCTCCAGTTCATCACGTGCTGATGACGCCTGTTCAACTGCTTCACGCAGAGCTGTCTGCATCGACACTATCTCGGACGCTTGCTTATCACACAGGTCTTGGTATTTACACAGCTCCTCGGACAGCTCACGGTTCGCATCGCATAGTCTGTTCACTTCACTCACAGTATCATCTACACTCTGTTCCTTCCGTGTCAACAGGTCTTCTTCAGAAGACTTGTGTGGCTGCACAAAATCATCAAGTACAGCAGGAGACTCCGAGTGCTCTGGCCAAACCGTCGTTTCACACTCGCGGTCCACACGTTCAACCACAGCATCAGGCAGCGCTGTTCCAACAGCATCCAAGCACTCCAGAACTCGTTGTTCGTGTTCTCTGCACCAGTCTCCATAGTCACAACGCAAGTCTCTTAGCTCGCTCACCACTAATGGCAGTAGCGATTTCGCTCGACTCACATCATTCTCCAGGTCAGTCGTCACGGTGGTGTAGCCTTCTAGACGACGCTTCAGCGACTCACACTCACACATCAAAGCTGAGTTCACTGATTCACAGGCTCTCATTCTCTCCTTCACCGTCTCCAACTCGGACGACCTTGTTTCTAGTGCACGCTGCAAATCTCCACACAGCTCATCCGGTGTGCGATGATCGACTAGTGAGTCTTCTGATGGTTGATTAATATCTTGCACTTCTGATATCATCGTGTGGTCGGCAGTCGAATGTGAACGAACTGCGGCCCGCTCGAACTCAATCAGCTTCGTCACCATCTCGGCACGATCGGCATTCGCTTCGGCGTGTGCTGCACGCAAATCTCTCACCTGCCTCAACAGGAAACCCAGTGATCCTCTGATATCGTCCATCTCCATACACACATCGTCTAACAGCGTTGTGCGCTCTGACACACTGCTTCGTAACAAGTCCACCTCTCTCCTCAGGTCATCATCGTGTTTCAACACCGTGACAGTCTTCTCCTCATCCTTCACCAACCTCTCAGCAACATCTACACTAGGAGAACTCACACTCAACAGCTTGTCGTCACGCACCTCGACGCCTTCCAGCTCACATACACGCACGCTCAGCTCTCTCTTGGCATTCTCAAGTTCGCTGATCCTGCTCATCGCCTCCTTCAATCGTACTCTCAGAGTCTCCACGCTCGACACCTCCGCTTCTGCATCCTCGATGACTCCTTCACTCACCGGCTTCGTCTGACTTTGAGTGACACAAACAGGCGAGATCACTTCGTCGTCTGAAACTCCCATAGCTCTCGAGTCTGTAGTCTGTGTCAGTAGTCGATCCATCACAATATCTGGCATCGAGTCACTCCTATCGGGAAGACCAGTCACAACAGCTGCCTCCACTCTTTGTGCATACTCACCTCGCGCCGACTCACCAGCAACCACATCGGGCGTCCTCATCACACTTTCATGAGGGATCCACCCACTCGTCTCCACGGTCGCGATGCGTAACTCCAAGTCATGCACTTCTTCACATTTCCTGTTCAACTCACACTGGGAAAGGTCAAGAGCCATGGACATCGTCAGCTGCTCACCATGTAGGCGGCTGATCTCCAGCTGCAGCTTCGACACCAGGTCGAAGACGTCGTCCATCTCCGTCTGCACACACACCTCCTCGACAACAGTGTCCGACGCACCACTCTGCACACACCTCGCTGACACCTCCGTCTCGCTCTCCAAGGCAGCGAGTTTCGCACGCAAAACCTCAAAATCACGCTGTTCTGCACGCAGGCTCTCACGCCCATCACTCACTTCCTCTGACAGACGACGCTTCTCCTCTTCCAGTTCGGCTACTTCCCTCTCCTTCACAGACAACAAATGTCGAACATCCCTCAAAGAGTCACCACTCTCCTGCACAGATCTCGATAACATGGCAATCTGTTCATGGCAGAAGGCCAACTCTGCACGCAGCTCGTCCACCGACTTCGAGGCATCCTCAACAACATCTACACACACACTCTCACTAACGAATTGTTGGCTCACCACTTCCATAGGAGTCGACGTCGACTGGTCAACAGAAGACAGCTCCACAGCAGCCGCCTCTGACAACCGGTCACTCATCCACCGAAGCTCACTTCCCATCACCTGCACCTCCGCATCCACAAATCCAGTAGACAGACTCAACAATCCACTGGCCTCGGACTCGTCACGCGTGCACTCCAAGTTGTAACCGCTCCAACCATCAACCACCATGAAATTCACTTCGTCAGCCTCAACATCCTGACCAACTCCGACGCTCACAGTCTCTCTCGGATGACCAGTCAATCCGGACGACAAGGCCACATCACCTTCAATAACAGAGTCCAGTCTCTGGGTTCCCACATCACTCGTGCACACTGCTACAATAGGCCTGACATCCAGACTGTCTGCTGCAGCCAGTCTAGCACGTAGTTCCAACAATTCTTTAAGAGCTGTGTCACGTTCACTCACCACTTGATCCATTTGCAACTCCCAGTCTCGACTGGCTATCGACACTGCTGTCCTACAGTTCTCCTCAATCGACATCTCAAGTCGCAGCACTTCACCCTCTAACGCAGTGCACTCCTCCCTCGAAACAGCCAGTCGACTCTCCAGCTCTGACAATACACCCGTTTTCTCCTGTCTATAGACCTCCAGTTCATCACGTGCTGATGACGCCTGTTCAACTGCTTCACGCAGAGCTGTCTGCATCGACACTATCTCGGACGCTTGCTTATCACACAGGTCTTGGTATTTACACAGCTCCTCGGACAGCTCACGGTTCGCATCGCATAGTCTGTTCACTTCACTCACAGTATCATCTACACTCTGTTCCTTCCGTGTCAACAGGTCTTCTTCAGAAGACTTGTGTGGCTGCACAAAATCATCAAGTACAGCAGGAGACTCCGAGTGCTCTGGCCAAACCGTCGTTTCACACTCGCGGTCCACACGTTCAACCACAGCATCAGGCAGCGCTGTTCCAACAGCATCCAAGCACTCCAGAACTCGTTGTTCGTGTTCTCTGCACCAGTCTCCATAGTCACAACGCAAGTCTCTTAGCTCGCTCACCACTAATGGCAGTAGCGATTTCGCTCGACTCACATCATTCTCCAGGTCAGTCGTCACGGTGGTGTAGCCTTCTAGACGACGCTTCAGCGACTCACACTCACACATCAAAGCTGAGTTCACTGATTCACAGGCTCTCATTCTCTCCTTCACCGTCTCCAACTCGGACGACCTTGTTTCTAGTGCACGCTGCAAATCTCCACACAGCTCATCCGGTGTGCGATGATCGACTAGTGAGTCTTCTGATGGTTGATTAATATCTTGCACTTCTGATATCATCGTGTGGTCGGCAGTCGAATGTGAACGAACTGCGGCCCGCTCGAACTCAATCAGCTTCGTCACCATCTCGGCACGATCGGCATTCGCTTCGGCGTGTGCTGCACGCAAATCTCTCACCTGCCTCAACAGGAAACCCAGTGATCCTCTGATATCGTCCATCTCCATACACACATCGTCTAACAGCGTTGTGCGCTCTGACACACTGCTTCGTAACAAGTCCACCTCTCTCCTCAGGTCATCATCGTGTTTCAACACCGTGA